GAGCCCCGCGCGCGCTCGCGGGTGGGGCGCTCGGGGCCCCGGGGGCCGCCTCCGCGCGGGGGGGGGCAGCGGGGCGCGGGGCCCCTCCCGGGCCTTGTGTGTCATTGCACGGGCGTAGTAACCCCGGGCGGCTCGCCCATTCATCCTGTTCCAGCTCGGGAAACTGCTCGTGCGGCTCAGCCCTGCGCACGTTTGGGCAGAGCGCTGGACGATTCCGCATGGCTCTCGCCGAAGAAAGGCCTACAACTCCCAGCATTCCCAAGCCAGGCTGGGGGATGCTGGGAGTTGTAGGACTTCTGACAGTAACATGCGTAGGATGGTGCCGGCAAGTGGAGGCACGCGTCGTTGCCGCTGCGAGCAGCACTTTCGACCGGGCTTAGGAAGGCGGCACAGAAAAGCAGCATTCAAGGGAGGGAGGGAGGAAAAGGAAACCCGGGTCAATATAACGCGGAATCAAGACGTTGCGATGGCTGCTGGCCGCGGGCTGGACCTTGGGACCTAAGGCGAGCCCCCCCCCGCCCTCCCCACGATCCCCAGAAGGGCGGGCGCCCACAGACGAAACAGTCTCTTTCTCTCCGCTGAGTTCGACAGTGAAGATCTGCACATGCTCAGAAGTACTGTTATAAACCAGGGTGCACACAGGTTTGTTGGGGCCCCTGTTGGAATAGGACTGTGTAGCAGCAGGTGTAGAGATAGCCTCTGAGCATGGACAGTGTACTTCCTTCACTAAGCACAGCACTATGTCCTGCCTGAACTAAGCAGGAAGACTCCTGATCAGAAGGGCGGCAGATAGAAGGCAGGACTCCGCAGGGTGGAGCCCAGGAGGAAAAAAAGTGCCCCTGAGCATGACTTTCTATAGAGCCATGCCTGTTGGGAATGATGGGAGTTGTAGTCCCGCACACTGAGATGGAAAACCCTGCTCTAAAGTTCAGATCTGGCTCTAAGCCGAACACCACGCGGGCGAGCCGGGACCGTTCCATTCTGCACCAGCGACCCATCGCTTCCCTGAGGCTGCCGAGACACAGGTCTGCAGCCTCTCCCACCTCCGCCAAGGCCAGAAGAACGGGGAGAGCCTGCACTCGCACGCCCACGCGCCTCCCCCAAGGGGACTCGCTGCGGGGCCTCCCCAGATCCTGACCCGCCCCACGAAGCGTTGTCCAAGCGACGATTCCCCCGTTGCCGACGCGCACCAGGAGCAGGCTAGCCAAGAAGCGCGAATGTCGAGCAACGTCTGGCTTAGGCTGCCCTCTAGTGTCCGCCGCTGGGTACCTGCCGGGAAAAGCGCCTGAGCCGGGGAAGGGGGCGGCCCGGAGGCGCCCGGGCTGCCCCGGAGCAGGCGCCGCCGCTGGCACGGCGGCCAAGGCGTCTCCTGCCCGGGCCAAGAGGCGCCTTCTCGCCCCGCTCCCTCACCCAACGCAGGGCGCGGGTGGCCCCGCCGGCAGGCGGCTGCAGGGAGAAGCCACCCCTTTGCCGTCCAGGAGATGCTTCAGAGGGGATACAGAGCAATGTCCTGTCTGCTAGAGGTCTCTCAGCTGTTACCAAGCTGGCGCCTTTTCACCTCTCCACCTGGGTGGGCCCCATTCAAATCACCTAGTGGCAAAGACATTTTTTAGGGTAGAGAAAATCCCATTTAGCTGCTGCCTAGTCGGGCAGCAACAATAGGCCAGTGAGGGTCCCGGGTGGCTGCTGGTTTTGGCTCTGGGCCGGGGATGGCAAGTCCCCTCTCTCTCTCTGCACGACCGCAGGCTGCCGGGCTCAGGACTGTAAATCAGTCACATTTACAAAACAGAAACCGTGACCTGCGACAGTGAGTTAGCACTCATTGCACTAGAAAGTGACTGTTTAACAGAAAACAACACAGCCGCCACACGCGTGTTGCTGTTCGGATAACCGCACAGTTGCCCATTCGCTGACTCGTCAAATGCCCAAACGCGGCAGGCTTATTTTTTACAGAGCAACCCGAGGCCTGCGGACCGCCTCCAACCCAAGCCAGCCATAGCGCCAATCGCTCCGGCAGCTTCGCCCCGGCTCTGGGCAGGCCCCTCCATTTTGCTGCCCAGGCCCTTCCCACGGTATGCAAGGCCTTCTGCTAAACGCCCCAACAGCCGCCCGTCTTCCCCGGCTCGAAGACAAACAGGACCCGCACCCTTTCCCCAGGGCCAGGTCCATGGGAAGGCAGCTGCCCGGGCGCAGGGCCAAGCAGGCCTGAGCATGAGCCACGGAGCACCATGGTCGAGGCACACAGACACACGTGGAAGAGGCCCTCTTTTAAATCAAACAAAAGCCTTTTTATTTCAAAATTACAGTCGTCCCAAACCGAGGGGAGATGACAAGAAGGACCGACAGACCAAACGCTGCACTCTTCCCGCGCCCGCACACACAACGGGCGGCCATATTCCTCGCACACCCGTCCCTTAATCCTGAAGTAAGGCGGGCCTTGTAGGCCCAAAGTGAAGCTTTTTCACTCGGTTCCCTTTTTCACTCAGTGCGAGGCGGATGATGAGCTCACCGGCCCCCAGGGCATGGCAGGGCCCGGACGTGGGGGGGGGGCCTGCGGCGCCTTCTCCCCGGCGTGGGGCAAGGAAGCTCACAAACGCACTGCGATGCTCGCCTGGCCGACCTTCCATGCGCGAGCCCTCCTGAACGCTCAGCAGCACATCTGGAAGCCATCAGCACGTTCTCTTTGGGTCCAATTACCGAGAGCAGATGCACAGCTGGGACCGATTTGGCTGTGCCGGGAGGAGCCGCGCAGGAAAACCAGCAACTGACAAGCGGGAGAGGGGCAGCCCCAGTCGGGAAGCGCAGCGCAGCACAGCGCAGCCGTGGCCCCATGGCACGCCCTCCTCCATGGGCCTCCCTCGCCCGGCCGCGCAGGAAGCCCCAGTGCCCCGCTGGGGGTGCCGCCTGGGCTGGATCGCTGGGGTCACTCCTCTCCCGGGCAGCCGGAGCAGGTGCAGCCCGGAAGGCAGGAGGGCTGAGCAAAGGGCAACGAGGGGCCAGGTCTGGTCCCCAGTAGCCAGACAGGTCGCATCGAAGAGAGAAGGCACCCAGAGGCGGCCTGCATGGGGGAAGCAGGGACGCAGCCTCCGTGCAGGAGCAGGAGGCCGGAGGAACCGCCCGGCTGCCCTCACACCGGCCTGCAAGCTCTTTGGAAGGAAGGCCAAGTGAGCCGGGAGATGTCCAAGCAGCGCAAGCCCACCGCCTCGTGCCTCTGGATTTAAACCTGCCTAGGAAGAAATCAAGCCGGAAGATACAACCAATCGATTCTCCCTGCCAAATACGACTGCGCGAGGCATGTTCGGCCCACAGCTGGGATCACAGATCTGGCCCACGTGCCACATGGAAGCCAGAGACGGCCAAGGGCTTGCCATGAGCCCAGCGGAGGATCGGCACCCCGGCGACACCCGCTCGCGAGGGCTGGCGCACCGCTGTCTGGCCCCCCCGCCCAGAGGTCCCGAGACGCGCCGCGCGGCTCGGCGACATGCGGGCGGCCTCCTCAAAGAGCAGACGGTCCCCGCGCCTGTCAGCGGCTGCAGGCCCCACGTTCAGTGCCTTTGAGCGAGGTTCCAGCACCCAAGCACAGATTGGCAGCCTCCGCCGAGGAGCGAGCCGGACCCCTGAAAGCGTTTGGAGTCCCGGAGTCGTCAGCACATGCGCCAGGACCTCCGTTCTGGCCCATCCCGAGGACCTCCGAGCCCGGATCCAACCTGACGGTCTCAGAGCCCCCGAGGCCTTCCCGCACTGTGCTCCAGGGTCACGGGGACTGAGAGAGCTCCTGCAGGGCAGAACGCATTCCCTCTCTGCGCCCAACAGCCTTCAGCAAGGCTTCCGGGACTTCCTGACGGCACCGGCACTCCCAGCGCGAGCGAGGCCAGCGGGGCTGCGAGGGGAGGCCTGTGCGGGGAGACCTCCGACAGGCAGCCGCGCGAGCTTCCGAGGGGCGCGCTGCATTGCAAAGGGGCCCCTCGTCTGGGTGCGGGGGTGGCGAGTGTCACCGGACGCCTCGGCGTCGTGCGCCAGAGGCAAGCTGATGGTCGCAGGGCAGGGCAGAGAACAGAACGTTCCCCACTTTCAAAGCAGAAGGCTGACAAAGGGGGTGTGTTTGGAGATGCTCCCTGCTACACGGGCTCGGCAGAGCGGCCCAGCGCCCAGATTTCAAGTAGTGGGACAGCAGCCCTGCCAGGGAGGAAGGAGTTGGAAGAGCCGTGTCCCCCAGCCAACGGAGGACCTGGGTGAGGACAGGGAGCATCCCAGGGACTAACGCGGAAACGCAGAGGGAGCCGCTGGATACCTGCGTCCTGCCACTTGCCCTGAACCAGAAAACTCTCTCCCTATGTTGCTGTGCAGACCAAAAGTAATAAATATACCATTCTATTCATTTTTATATATAAAAACCTTCAATATATTTCCCCCTAAAATTTCCAGTGTTCTGCAAAATTAAAAAAATAACCCCCCTTATGTTACACGCTTTATCATGTGTGTGCTTATATAAAAAGGCATCCTCGTGTGTCTGGCACTTGACCCACACGAGGTGCCGTTTCTTGGTGGTCCTCCCTTTGGAAAAAGAGGCAGAAAAGCTTGCGGGCCCCGGCCAGGCGAGATCCCTTTTCCCTGCGTGGAGAGAGCATGGCCGGCGGCCTGTCCCGGGCGCTCCCAGAGGGGGAAGCTACGAATGGAAAGCACCGTGGCGGTCCAGGGATCAATTCGGGAGAGCTTTCACAGTGGAGCGGATTCCGGTGGCGCTGGGGGGGGGCCGCGCCGGAGACCCCTTCCGGCCGGGAGCAGCAGGTGGGAGCCGGAAGGCCGACTCCGGCAAGGAGAGTTCCCAGGGTCGCGGTCTGCTTCTTGAAAACCGAGGCAGGCTGAAGGAGCCCACCCCGATCGGCTGAGCTCCGGTTCCCTTTTCTCACGGGGGTGGGCAGGAGGCATCACCAGACCTCGCACTTCCGCAGGGGGTTCATGGGGGAGCCAGGCCGGCACTGGAAGTGCTGGGCAAACTCCTTGGAGTTGGAGATGGTGCCGATGACCCGGTAGCGCGACGGGCTGTGGGAGTCAGTGACCAGTCCTTCGTGCGAACTCTCCGGGGTGCGGACGGAACACCAGACCTGGAAGAGAGGGCAGCAGCTCAGCGGCCTTCACAAAAATGGGGGGCCTGGCCTGGGAGCGCAGGGCAGAGGGCCAAGGCCGTGTGAGCCACGTTTTCCGTGGGTGGGGGGGGGTCCCCATTTCGGCTCTGCATGCGCAGAACCGCTTTCTGTCCGGGGCTGAGGTGGTTCTGGTGGCACATCAGGGGCACGTCCCGGCTGAACCGCAGAGCCGGAGGCCAACAAAGTTCCACACAGCTTTTCTCGCCCGCCACAAACAGCACAGAAAGGCATCTCCGCCTTTCAGGATGGGGGGAAACGGCCCCAGAGGCTGCAAACCCCACAATCTGCAGTAGCGAGGAGGGGGGAGAGGGAAGGGGAGCCATCACCCGGCCCACTCAGGGCCATCCCATCACGCACCGCTTCCCTGGCTCGCCGTGCCCCAGGTGACCAAACCGGAGCGCCTCTTTGTTTAAGGAATTCATGCTGCGGCTCTCAACAAATTCCCAGGGCACTGTACAAATTCCATTAATTTCCCCGTCGCTTGAGAGCTGCTGCTTCGGAGGAGCACGGTGGGCCTGCATGATCCGGCACTGCGCTTTTCCCCGGCCCCTGCCAGAAACGGAGGCTCCCGGGATTCGTAAAGCCACCTCAGAGGCCCCGTTGCACACAGATTCCCTGCAGCGTGACCCATATAAGGAGGCGTGTGAGCTTGAGGAGGGGGATTCCTTGAGCCGTTAGGCGCATTCCAGCATTATTCCCGACTGTCGCCCGACTGAAATGAAAAGGCCTTCAATCGCCGTGAACTTGGCTGTTGGGGGATCACAGAATTTGTACAGCCACGTGTGATGCCCTGGCTAAATTTAAGTCCATTTCATTTCAACAGGTCGAAACATTGGGTACCACCTCGTGTGTGTGCTGAATGGTCGTGAGGCTTTACCGACTTGTAAACATTTCGTTCACCTCCGTTACTTTGCTGTCCGGCACACGCATGCGTGCCCTTCTCCCCAACTCACACGCCTGTGCGTTTCCTAGCCGTCGCCCGTCCCCCTTGTGCCCGAACGCGGACTCTGAGCCGCCGGGTCCCTGCACAAGCGTGGCGTCTGCTTCGAGGGCAACGGCCGCCCTGCCTCCTCCCTCCGGCCGGCACAGGGAGGGACACTGGAAGGGACCCGAGGGGGTGAAGTGGCCGCCTGGACCTACCTGGGCAAACCCGACGAAGAAGAGCTGGTGGTTGTTGAGGCCGAGGGCCGGCAGCGTCTCCTCCTCCCCGTTTTTCCTCACCCAGTTCTGATAGGCCTGCGAGGAGAACACAGCGGAGAGAGTCAGCCCTGCAAGGGGGGGGGCCGAGCCGTGACGGGGCAGAGCATCCCGCCTGCCCGCAGCCCCCTCGGCCTTCCCCTCGGCCTCCCCAGCTGTGGGGCCTCTCGGCCAGCAGGCCCTCCCCATGCTAAGGGACGGCCTTTGCCCCTGCCCAGCCCTGGGGCGAAGGCCCCGAAAGCGCCTCCAAACGAGGTCGGTGGGAGCCGGGGCGCTCTTCGGCGATGGCCCGGCCAGGCGGCAGAACGCCGGCAGGGCGGCGAGGCTCCTGGGAAGCACCCGCACGCCGCTGAGCCTCACCCGGTAGGCGGCCTTGAGCCCCCCGTTGTCCGCGATGTTCTCCCCCAGGGTGTGCTTGCCGTTGACGGCCTCGCCGTTGACCATGTAGCTGCCGTACTGCTCCACCATGCACTCCGTCTGCTGCTTGAAGGCTTCCACCGAGGAGTTCTTCCACCAGGGCCGGAGGTTCCCCTCCTTGTCATACTCGCGGCCTGCGAGAACCGCGGCCGTCAGCAGCAGCGCCGGGGAGCCCGGGAGCTGTGCCCACAGCCGCGGCCACAGGAAGGGTCCGCAGCAGGCCCACCCAGGGGGAGGAGACCGGCCCCCCGGCCCACGGGGGCTTCCCTGGCTCGCCTGCCTGCCTACCAGGGTGGCAAGCCTCACATTGACTGAGAACACGACCGTGTCTGAAATATCAGTACCAAAATATCCGCACAGAAAAAGGCAGGCAGAATTCTACCTGGCAAACCCAGTTAGCAGGAAGAGCCCAGCGGTAATAAGCATGCGGCAAGGGGGCCCAAATAAATATTACGGCGGCAAAGCCTCCCTTCCGCTCTGCGACGTGGGGCAGGCGGGAGGGGAGAGCGAGGCCCTCACCTTGGTCATCAAACGCGTGGGTCAATTCGTGGCCGACCACAACTCCGATCCCTCCGAAATTGAGCGCCCTGCCAACCAAGGGGACCAGTCAGCCACGGCCAGACAAGTCCGCCTCCACTTCAGGGAATCCCTCGGCGCAGGAGTGGCCCGAAAAGCTGCCATGCGGGGAAGGGGGTTCGGCTTGCGTGAGGGCAGACCTCATGTGGGACCCCAGGACGAGGGGGGCTTGTGGCCCCCACGTGAGCGGAAGGGCTGGATCCTGCTTCAGTGCAGTGGGGGGCCAGGCCTGTGCCATGACCCACTCCAACATCTCGTGCTTGCAAAGGTTTCACAGCCAGGCGGACGTGTGCGAAGAGGCCCCCTCCCACCTCTGCAGGAGCCGCTCCCAAGACCCAGAGCGGCAAGGACAAACCCCGGGGGGGGGGGCGGGGGAGAGAGAGCTGCGGTCATACTTGGGGGAGCTCCGGGTGTAGAACGGAGCCTGCAGAATCCCCGCTGGGAAGACAATCTCGTTCTTGGTCGGGGAGTAATAGGCATTCACCGTTGGGGGTGTCATGCTCCACCTGCGCGAAGGGAGGAGAAAGTGCCCTGTGGGATGAGGGGCAGGGCCCGGCCCGGCGGAGGCCCTCCCCCCTGCTGCCCCCTCCGAATCCCCTCCCAGAGGAGGGGCCCAGCTGCTGGCGGAGGGGCCTCCGAACACCCCAGAATCCCACGGAGCCCCACGTCAGGGCCTCGGGCATTTCTGCGAGCAGCAAAGCCGACTGGGCATCTGTCCCGCTGCTCTTACAGCATCACCCGCGAGCACCTCACGCCGGCCACGGCCTGCCCGCCAGCGAGCCGGCTGGTGCCAGAAACAGGAAGCCAGGCCGGGCGGGGAGCCGGGTCTCCCCCAGCCGAGCTGCCCTGTGCCAGCTGTGACTTACTGGTCACGGTTGGGGGGCTTCCGGAGCTGGTCAGCTGCCACACGGGCAGAGAAGTTGAAAAAGTGCATGACGTTCTCGTAGTATTGATCGGGCGTGGCGTCGTACTGCCGAGAAGCAAACCTGGTCAGACGCAGGCCAAGGTGGCAGGGACTGGGGGGCCCCCGGCCGACCCCCAAAGACAGCCCGGAGCAAGCCTTGCCAACCCGGGCCCTCCAGACCAATCCATTCCACACCGGGCGGCCGCCTTCCGCACCACACACTCACGTCACTGAAGACTTTATCCAGCTCTTTGGGGTCCATGATGAACTTGGGGTAGCCAATCATGTTGTAGATGGCATCAGCCTTCTCCCGGGCAGACCTCCGCGTCTCCTCGTCCATCCACCGTAGGCTCTCCAAACTCTCCTCAAACGCCATTTTGATCTCTGAAATCATTTCCTCGGCCTAGCGGGGAAGAATGAGGGATCTCTGCAGGAGCCTCGGACAGAAGGATGCCCTCGGGAGCAGCCGCACAGAAGTGAGAAACGAGGGGGAGCGAAAGCGAGGGCAGCTTTGAGACGGGGTTCTAGCGATACACCCCAGCGCGCAAGACGCTTCTCGTGATGAAGTCCTGGCCAGCGGCCGAAAGCCCTTTGGGTGGCTCGGAAATATTAAAAATGTCAACCTACATTACAGAGCCATTCGGACCCCTTGCCCAGCTTCGGAGCTTCCCCTGGTTGCAAGCACAGTTGTACCGGGGAAGGCTTTGTTCTTTTCGGAAGGAGCGCTGCTCTTCTGTTTTTGTTACCATTTCGGTTTAGCTTGACTGCCGTGCGTGGCCTTGGAGGATTCCAACCGGGAAAGGCAGCCACGGAGTAGGGGACGGGGGCTTGGGTGGACTGGAATCAAGTCCCCACTCGGCCATGCAGCTCCCCAGATGACTCTGGGCCAGGCCCTGACTCTCGGCCCAGCCTACCTCACAGGGCCGTTGTGGAGATAAAAGCAGAGAGGCGGCGGCACAGGCAGGCCTGGGGTGATGATGGCCGCGTTTTCCTGGGCCGAGCCAGCCTGGCCAAGGCAGCTAAACCAAGCTCCCGAGCGTCACATGATCTTTCAACGGGCCACGTGTCAAAGAGCAGAAAAGGCGCGTTTCGTGGGAGCCTGGCAGGTGGGGGGCCCTTGTCCTAACGCACGAGGCGACGTGACGCCGCGGAAGGGAAAGAGGAGGCACTTCGCTTCGCGTCGCTTACGATGGCCTTGCTGTCCTCGGCGAAGGTGGCCCTCACGAACATGGCGCCCAGAGCGAATCCCAGGTTGAAGTCCGTGTCGCTGATGCAGTACTTCCAGCGGGGCGAGCAGGTCTGTCGGGGAGGAGGGTGCGCGGCGGTGAGCGCCGGGGAGGGCCGACCTGGCCCGGGTCGGGCCCGGCCCCGGGCAGCAACGTGGAACGAGCCCTCCTGCCCGAGGCCGGAGCGGCCCCTGCCTGGAGCGGAGCCGTCAGAGTGCTCGCACCCCCTTCCGACCACCTTGGGGGAGGCAGCCGCGGTGGCGGGCTGAGCGTTGCTGTCCAGCACGTCCGCAGGGGACCGGGCTGGGGACAGCTAGACTGGGCCGCGGGCCTACGACAGAGGGTCCCCAGGCCGAGGCGTCGCCTGGCCTGAGCAGCCGCCCAGCACGGCTGGCAGCGGCTGCTTGCCGTCCTCCCGCTGGCGCGATTTCTGAAATCCCGAGCACCTGCTGGGCCAACGGACCGCGAGCGGACACTTCTGAGCTCAGGAGAGCTCCCGGGGAAGCGGGGGCAGCGTGGGGGGGAGGCGAAGTGGCTACGCGGGGGGGTGGCCACGGGAGGGACTGGGAGCTTGCATGATGCTCTGGCAGCATTTTCAGGGCTGCAGAGATGGAAGAAATGGACCACGGGGCTCGGAAGAGAAACACGCACGGTCCGAGCTGGCAGCAGAGGGCGCTCTTGCCACGCCGCTTGTGGACACGGCCCCTGGGCCACGGATGGGCGAGGAGGAGGAGGAGGAGGAGGAGGAGGAGGAGGAGGAGCCCACAGAGATGCTTCCCTCCAATTTCGGGGGGGGGGTGGAGGGGAGGGCCCAGCAACTCCTGCGCATCCCCACCCCCTCCCTCCTGTGACGTTGCATGACAAGGCCACCCGCAAATCAGCCATTTCCGTTCCTGGAGGAGCCTGCGACTCCCGGGCACATCCAGAGGAATTTCTGAGCGACTTCCAAGCCAGCCCAGCGCTGGCAGGAAAGATCCTGCCTGGAACTCCAGGCAGCCGCCCAAGCGCGTGCCCCAGCCCAGCGCCGGCCCCCTCACCTTCCTGGACCCGTACATGGACTCCAGGAACTTATCCTCGGCGTCTTGGAACCGATGGTCCAGGAAGCTGACGCCTTTCCGCACCAGGTGCCAGATCATGTAGTTGTGCAACACGCTGCGGGGACAGCACACGGGTGAGCGGTTCTCTCGCTGGCCGTGGCCCCGGCCCCCCCCGGCCCCCCCGGCCACACTCACTGCCGCTCCGTGCTGAGGATGAGGCTGGAGACCTGCTCAAGGTACTCCTTGGCATACACCACCACCGGCTCCGACTCGTTGATCTCCGTGGTGTAGAAGATGGCGTTGAGCAGGGGCATCCAATCGACGGCCGGCGCAAGGCTCTGGGGCAGGAGACACGCAGGGCGGACCTGTTCTGAACGGCCATCACCTCGGAGCGTTTCGAGGTTCGATCTTCCTCTGTCTGGCCGCTCTTATCTGCGCAGCTGCGCTGCTGAGCCACTGCCGGGCTGCCCTTCGCAGAAGGCAGCGCAGAGACGGGCACGATCCCCGTGGGCCGAGGCCTCGGCTCCTCCCGGGAACAGGCAGGGCGGCCGTGGGGCCAAGCAGCCCATTCCGGGACTATTCGCTGCGGGCGCTCCCCTAAGAGGCCGTGGGGGGCGAGTGACCGCGGTGGTGCAGCCCCAGGGAGAGGGGGCTCGGCCCTCTGCGCTGCACACACAACCCCTGGGAAGGCCCAATCTGGCCGAACGAGGACAGGCCGGCCACTGCTGTCCACACCTGCTGTTCCTCCTGCCCTGGCGTGGAGGCACGCGCTCGGGGGGCTCGGCGTTCGGGATTTCTGTCGGCGGACGAGGAAGAGCAGGGGAGCGTGCCCCGTCGCACCGCAGGCGAACCCCGGCCTGGAGCGCTGCTCGGCAGGAAGCCTTGCCCCCAGAGGCCTTCAGGGCCTCCGCCCAAAGGGGCCCCTCGAAGGCGAGGAGCGTTTCCACGACGCAGAGCACGAATCGCACGTTCCCGGATCTCCCGTGAGTGTGCACGCGCGGGCGCCGGAGGGCTGACCCCGGGGCTGGGGGCGCTGGGCGAGGCCCCCTCCGTCAGGGGTCGTCTCCTCTCCACCCCCACCTGCTTGCTCCACAGGCAGAGCCGGGCAGCCGTGCGTCTCCCGCGCCTCCTCCGCCCGCCCTGCGGCCTGGGCCAGAGGCAGAGGAGCTGCTCGGGGGTCGCTTGGCCCCCCACCGCCGGCCGAGCGCTTCCTCACCTTGAGCTCCCCGACGGGGATTTTGTGGTAGATCAGCTCCTCGTCTCGCCGCTTCTCCTGGGGGACGGTGATGTTGGCCAGGGCGGTCTCGAAGTCCAGGACCTGCTGCATCTGCTGCCGGATGGCCGTCTTGTTCTCCCCCCCGAGCAGCACGCTCAGCTGCACCATGAAGTCCAGGTAGCCCGTGAGGACCTGCAGCCGCAGGCGAGGGCAGGCGTGGGCATCGGCGGAAGGCCGCCACAGGAGGGGGCGAGAGACGGGTGGGAGGGGGCGAGAGACGGGTGGGGGGCGCGCGCCACTTCCGTGTCCCCCAGCAAGGTGCGGGACGCTCTCCACAGGCGTGGGCACAGCCTCACTCCAGGGGCGCAGGGCCTCTTCCAGCTCAGGGCCGGATCTGCCTCCCAGCAGCTCTGGGGCTGCGAAGCGGGAGGGACGAGGGCGCCGGCAGCACCTGGCTGGAAGGGCCGAGTGCCGGTCCCCACGCCTTAAAGGCAGGAGGGTGGGAACTGCAGAAAGCAAGAAACCGTTGGGGGGGGGGGGCACCTGGTGGACCGGGAGGAGGGGCCCGGACTGCCAACGGCTCCCCCCACACAGAAGGCCCCCCACCCAGGGAGGCAGCAGCAGGGGACGGTTCTCCTCGGCCAGCCTCATCCTGGCTCAGGGCCGTGTTCCAGCTTCCGCTTCACTGAAGCGTCTGCTTCTGTGGCCGTTCGCCTGCCTCGCAATTGGCGGCACCTCTCTCGCCGTGCGGCGCTTTGCAAATTCAACAGGCAACAGCAGAGCCAAGCATGGAGCCCGATTTTACTCGGCAAATCCCTCTGGAAATGCGCCATTTGGCTGCGACCGCTGAGGCCAGGTGAGCGAAGGGGGGCCTGCGCTTGTGTTAAGTGGGGTTTCGACCGAAGTGGGAGCAGAAGGAGAGCCCGGCACATACCTTCTCGTTCTGCGTTTTGTTGAGATAGTAATCTCGGGACGGCAGCACCAGTCCGGACTGGTCGACCTGGAACGGGCGGCGAGAGCGCGAGCAGCGGGGTGAACGTGGCGGCAGAGCGGGCACAACGCAAATTCAACGCAAATTCAACGCACAATGCAAATTCAACACAAACACGGGGGGGCAGGGCAAATGCCACCTTCCACCCCAGCCCCTCCATCGCCATTCCACTTTAAAAAAACGTATATCATCCATAGCGTTTAGGGGACTGGGCAACATTTCCAAGCGACCCTCTGTGTCTCTGGCTGGAACGTATGTCTCCAAACTGGCCTTAGCAAAGCAGATTCTAAACAAACCCGGCAGAAGTTCGGTTTTGTTGCGGAGCCAAAGGTGCCTGCAAAGGGCTCAGGCCAGGAGCCAGGTCCCTGCGCTGGGAGGATTCCAGGTGCAGCTCGGGGGGCCTGCCGTGCCCAGACGCCCCCGCAAGCCCCCCCCCCCGGCCCGGTCTGTGCCCCCCTGCCCCCACCTGGATGATGTTGCGGCTGGAGTTCTTTGAGTCGGCGCTCACGTAGATGGCGAAGAACGGGGAGGTGTGGTAATGGGCCACCATCTCCAGGAGCGTCTGGTTGAAGTCCTCCACATCGCTGGAGTCGTTGAGATGCCAGCCGCCGAGCTGGGGGGACCAGAGGGAGAGCCAGAGTCCGCCACGGCCCCGCCTGAGCCACGGAGAGGCCGGCCGGGCAGGTCTGGAGGAGACACCCCCAGGGCCGCCTGTCCCCGCACACAGGGAGGGCCTCTCGTTCCTCACCGGGGCCAAAAATGGCAGCGTCAGTAAGGTTTGTTTCTGATACTGGAAGGAGATTGCTGTAATAATAAACTAAAAAACAAGAAACCGAAACCTGCCAGATATTTCAGGACGCCTACGTGCACCGAAGGTGGCACTGGAGTGCGGTGTCCTCTTAACCTCTCTGGCACGGAATGGAGATCGGGGCTGCTGGCACCTGCCCTGCAGAAAGGGGGGCCTCCCTCCGATCCCTCCCCCCCCTCCGCCCCCGTGTGGCATTTCTTCCGAGTCTGCAAGCCTGTGGAGGCAGCGAGTCTCCTCCTTAATGGATTCTCAGTCCACTGCTTCGGGAGGCTTTTTGGTTGAGGAATGGCAGGGAAATGCTTCAAAGAAACAGCCCCAGAGGGAATCGGAGCTATAAACCCCCCGGTGACCTCCAGGGCTAACGGCAGAGCAGCTGAAAACGTGCAGAGGCCAGCCGCGGGCTCCCTCCTGCAGCAGCAAGGGCGTAGCATGCCAGCCGCTCTGTCCGCAGGAACCGAGCGAGGGCACTCTGCCCCCGTCCCCGGGGCCCTTCCGTACCTTCTGGATCTGGTCCGCCAGGGGCTTGGCCTTCAGCTCTTCGATCCTGGTCTCGTTCATGCAGGCCTGGTAGTAGCGCTGCACCTTGCACTCGGCCTCGCTCAAGGCGGCGGCCGTGGTGTTCTCTGGGGGGGGGCAAGAAACGCGGGTCGTTCAGCCCCCGCCCTGCCGGGAGGCTTCTCTGGCTGCCGTGCCCCCACCCCGTCTCCCACTCAGTCACAGGCCAGGGAGCGGGAAGGGCTTCCAGGCCTGGCGGAGGAAGCCTCGGCTGCAGCGGAGACTGCAGCGCCGTTCTGGGGCGGCCCTGCCCCGGCGCCAAGCCCTCCTCCGGGGGCCTCTCCTGGGAGGGGCATCTGGAGAAGTGTGGCTGCGCAGAGGGTCGCCCCCAACTGCGGGTCGCTCTCCCCAGCGGCGAAGTGTGCCCAGCAGCCGCCCGCTCCCCTTTTTGGCTAAGGGCCTCCTCTAGGCATCTGGGGGCACGCAACAGAGCCAGTGCCACAGCGATGCTCTCGAGTCGCCTCATCTATTCCGACGGCTTCTCTCTGGCTGTTTTAAAGTGCTTTTGACTGGGTGTGTGCAAGCCTTCAGAGCAGGTTTCGATCCTCCCCTCCTCAGGGGCTGCCATTTCTGTCACCCACCCGGAGACCATGAACTGTGGGAAGCACCGAAGCGAGTGGGAGCGCGGCTGGCGCCCCGCCTGTCACCCACGGCCGCCTGGGCACGGGGCGGCAGTGGGGGGACCGCGGGGGCCGGCAAGAGCCCGCTCCTCTCCTGCACACGCGCGGCCGGCGTGTGGGCTCACCGCTACAAGCAGCAGCCTTCAGGCCTGAGCCAAGCAGACCTGCTGCGGATGCTGGGACGCTTCTCCCAGCCTGGCCGGCGCTTTGGCCTGAGCCTGCAGGCAGCCCAGCCGTGGCTGGAAAGGGAGGCAGGGGAAACCCCCCAAGGCGGGGCAGGCAGAAACCCAAGACAAAGGCGGCTTGTCTGGGATGGAGAAAGGCCGATAAGGCAAACAAAGGAAAGGGACCCGTTGCCATGGCGACCCGAGCCTGTTTCCACTCAGCTGGGCTGGGAAGAGGCACTCCAGCCGATGACTGACTGACGGAGCTGCCCAGAGCGGCCCCTTCACACACACCCCACGCGCTGGGGGGGATTTTCGCAACTCAACCGAGCGGAGGGGAGAGGAGAGCGAAGCGCTTCCCCTCCGGCGAGTGCCCGTGCCCTTTCGCGAGCCCCCTGCCACCCAGGAGACGCTCCGGCCAGCCGCCCAGGGGGGCGCTCCGCTCGGGCCTGATCCGGGCCGCACCCCAAGAACGGGCAGCCCGTGGAAGCGTTCCGGCTGCCGGCACGTGCCCCCCGCGCCCCCACTCACCCAGGAGGTGCTTCAGCTCGGCCTGGTTCCGCTCCCACAGCTTGTTGAAGGTGCCCCAGCGCGAGTGGCCGTCCGGGACGGGGTTGGCCTTCATCCAGCCGCCGCAGGCGTAGCTGAAGAAGTCCTCGCAGGGGTCCACCGAGCGGTCCAGCGAGCCCAGGATGGCGCTGGTCACCGAGATGCAGGACTCCGTCAGGCACGGCCCTGCGGGGGGAGGACGGGGCCGTCGGCACTGCGGGGGCCCTCGCCCCAGCCGCCCTGCTGCCCCCGGACTCGGCGGGGGGGGGGAGAGATGGCAGAGGGGGCGCCCGGGGCAGCCCGGGACGGAGGGACGGAGCCCCCTCCTCGGCGAGGGGCCGGGCAGACTCTGGGGCCCACGGCTGCACCCTGCGCCAGCCCAAGGGCCGAGTGCAGCTTTGGGGAGGCCACCGGGTCCCTCTCCAGTGGGGGCGGGGCCAAGGCGGGGGCGGGGCCAGCGCCTCCGCATGGGGAAGGGGTGCCGAAGCCGACCGGCGGCCGGGGAAGGGGCGTAGGGGGCCCGGGGCCGACCGGCCCAGTGCCGCTCACTCACGGGTGCGGAGCTGGAAGAGCAGGACGAGGGCACAGGCCAGGAGGCCCACCAGCAGCACCGTCGCCAGCACCAGCAGCCCCTTCTCCAGGCGCGTCCGCTCCGCCCAGCAGCCCCTGCTGCCCCCCGCCTCGCGGAAGTTCACCTGCGGGGAAAGAGCACGGCTGAAGCAGCGTGCCAGCTCGTCGGGCAGCCCCGGGGTGGCTCTTGCCACCCGGCGTGCGAGCAGCTTGGGGGAGCGTGAAAGGCTGGCTGCCCCCCAGCCCCCATTCACCCCGGTCAGAAAACGGGCCCTCCACAAGCCCCTCGCCAGGGACCGGACCCCCAGGGCCGCAGTGAGGGTGGAGCCAAGGCCCAGCCAAGCCGCAGATGGCAGCCGGCTGCTCCGTGAGCAAGCCCAGATGAGGGCACACCTGGCCCGCGGGCAGCGGGGGCACGTCCCCTCGGGCTCATTAGGCCAGCTGTCGGGGGACAGTGCCCCCCCGACCAGGCAGGGTACTCTGCAGGCAGTGGGGAGGAAGGGAAGTGCCAGGGAAGGAAGGGGAGGCTTCCTCGGGCGAGCACCCCCTTTCCGCCCCGGGCTGCGTGCCCCATCGCAAAGCCCCACGGCGGCAGGAAGCGGCCTGCTGGCCAGCTTGCTCCCACGGAGGGCTTTTCTCAGGGAAGGCAGGCTGTGCGCCTGAAAAGGCCCTCTGGGACCTCTGCAGCCGCCAAGGGGCAGGCCGGCCCCAGAAAGGCAAAGAGGTGCCCTGGCGGCCCCAGGTGGGGCGGGTCTTGCCGCTGCCGCAACGCAGAGGGCCCCACATTTGCTGGCGGGGAAGGGCAGGATTGCTGCAACATGCAGAAGGAACAGAGCAAAACTTCCAGCCACTCCGCGTGGGGCGGAGGAGCAGATGCGACGGAGGGTGGGGCAGCGGGACCGCAACCGAACGACGAGGAGGACGCTTCTTTCTCTTCCCGTAAGCCACGATTTCTCATTTGGCCAAGAGGGCGCGGACTTTCAGCCCCGCACACAGGGAAGGCTCCTGGCTTGTGCCAAAAGCCTTCCTTCCCCGTAAGAACCGGTCCCGTTGCTTGCCCCAGCTCCGTCTCCATCTGGGCTGACACCCAGATTCTTCCGCTATTAATTCGCGTCGTTCCGACTGCTGCCGAAGCCTCTTGGCTTCCTTTCCCGGCATTTGGTGTCCTCTGTGGCGCTTTTCTCTCTCTTTAACTGCTAGCGATTGTTTTTAACTGTTGTCATGATACCAGCTGTTCTGGCCCAGGCACCTGACAAGAAGCCAGTGCCGGGCTTGCGGACGAACGTCTCAGCAACGAAAAGGGGGGCGGTTTGCACGGAGCGCGGCAGCGGCTTGAAAAAGGCATTCAGCGTTCAGCTCCACACAGGCAGCTACCTGAGCAGGTTCTTTGGAGAAGCTGACTGCCCTTTGGCAACTGTTTTCATCCCTGTCCTTTTGCCTGAAGAGGAAAGCAAGCAAGCAACTCCGAGGATAAAGATTTGGTTGCAACAGGGGGGCTGGGCTGTGCCAGACAAAAGATGCCGCGGAAGAGAACGAGTTTTTCAAGCCAACACCAGAAGATAAACAGAAGGAGCAGCGAGCCAAAGAGAAAAGCAAGGGGGCATTTCCATCAGGGGCGAGGACAGGGATGAGGGCTGGCCCAAGAGCAGTGGCTGGGCCGGGGGGCACTCGGCTCCCTCCTTCCGGCAAGGGCCGTGTCAGGATTAAAGTGGCAACCGGCAGGGCTGTGGACAGGGCGGGCCACGAGCCGCTCTCGTTGTTTTGGGGGGTGGGGGCAACTGGCAGGCCCAAGTGGGGGCACGTGAGCAGCCCCGACTGGCGGCGGGACCCTGGTGGGTCTCCTTGGCTCGGCTCCCTGGATCCCAGCCCGGTTTCTCCCCCTCCGTCTGCGCCGCACGAAGCACCAACACGGTGCCCAGCGGGAGGTGAGTCCGAGCGAGTCCGTGTGGCCGGCCGGAGCACACGCCCCCTGCACACGCGATGGGCAAGCGGCGTTCTGCTCCTGCAGACGTGACGTGCGGCTGTCCTTCGCACAGAGGAGCTGCCGGCACTCCCGAGCATCCGTGCCCTTCTCTCGACTCAGCTCACTTCCCGAGCGAGCGCGGGAAGGAAGCCTGGCATGCGAAAGAGCGCCAGATTCTGGCTAGATCTGCGCCTCCCGAGGCCAAGCCATGTGGAGGGTCACAACTCCCATCGGCCTCAGCCAGCACTGGCAACACTGAGGAATGGTGGGAGTCGTAGCCAAACATATCTATCCAGAGGGCTGGAGGTGCCCCCCCCCCCGGTCAGGCGCATCACGGAGGCCGGCAGCCACCTCCCCCATGCGCAGATTCTGCCAAGGGCAGCTCCTTCCACTTGGTTTGTCCGTCCAGCTGGGCCAGGACTGTATCAAGGGTTTTCCACGTTCTTGGAGCGGCAAAAATGAAATAACTGCGTCCTGGGCAGAACTGAAGATAGCCATGTCGAAACCAGGAGTTCTTCAGAGAAGTGCAACTCCCGAGTTCTGTTTTAAGAAGGGGCGAGGGGGCGGGGGGCATGCTCGGCAAAGCACTGACAGCCACAGGGGGCCGTGGTGCCTGTCCAACCACGCAGCTTGCGGCCAAGTCCCTTCAGCTCGTATCTCACGGCCAGGCCGTCCTGGGAGAAGCCCCCAGGGACCGGACTCCAGGCGCGCTGGTAATCCCGGCCTCCACCCCCAAAGCCCGCACGACCCTCGTGGGGAGCGAGCACCCAGAAGCCACAATGGGATCGGCCCAAACAGGAAGCCAGCCAAACTGAACAGGAGTTTTCCCAGCAAATACCTCCCCGCCCCAGCCCATTTCCTGCTTGGCCCGGATCCACGCAGGCTCGCAGCCCAGCTGCCCGAGGTGCCCGGCGCACGCTGGGTGGGAAGGTGCGTTCGCCTGGCAAGGGATGCCGCCGCCACGGCAGGAGCCGCCCCCGGCTGAGGACGCGCGGTGGAAAGGGGAAAAGGCTGGGGGCGTTTGACTGGGGATGAAAGAGGAGGGCCTGGGACCCGCAGGGAAACAGTGAAGAGAAATCACGCTCGCAGCATTTGGAACGACGCAAAGCTGGCTTCCCCGGCCAGGAAGCCTTTTACACCTCTGGTGGCTGCTAACTCAGGAAAGAGCGCTGTGGGGAGCATTCGAGGGAACTTGTGAAGGGATCGGCAGGAGGCGACGGGGAAGGGCGGCCCCTCCAACTCTCCCCAAAGCTCCTCCAAGGCACAAATGCAGCACAGGCCAAGGGGCAGGCACTGCCGAGGGATGGCACGGCCAGCCAGGGGGCAGGAGGCTGATCTGCCCCACGGAGCTTCTGCAGCCCGCCAGCCCGACGTCTGCTCCAGCCCAGGAGAGCAGGTGGGCATGCCGCTTCGCAGCCACACGCAAGCCGGCCGGGTAGCGCAGTAACACCCGGATAATGATTCCCAGACGTTGCAACCAGACCGCATCTGTTCCCAGTAAGGGAGGAGATTCTCTGCGTCTCCATGGGCGGCTCTGCACAGCTCTGACGTGGACCGCCCCGCTGGGAGGTTGTCCGGGGGCCGCCGCTCATGCAGCACCCGCCGTCGTGTGCCTGGAGGGGCGCTCCTGACAGCGAGGGGATCTGGGCTCTTGGCCTTCTGGAAATCCCCAGCTGAGGCACCGGGGAAAAGAGCAGCGATGCAGCTGCCACCAGCTATAGCTAAGCAGCCAGTCCTCAAGAGGACAGCTCCAGGCTCTCACCGCAGAATCAGGAAACCAACCTGAAAGGATGTGCCAGGCGAGGGAGCAACCAGAGCAAGCTTGTTTGGCAGGCTCAGTGGGAACCGGAGCACGTGCCCCCAAGTCCCAGTAAAACACTCCCACCAGCACCCCAGGCCCCTGCCAGGCCACCACTCGACAGCAAAGGGAGCAGGGCGGGAACCTGCTGGGCCAGCGGGACACCACCCGGCTCCACGCCAGCGGGGCCCTCCTCCCAGCCCCCCCGGCCACCCCCACTGCCCGCCAGCGCCTACCTGGAACCCGTCGGGGTAGGCCTCCCCCTCCATGGCTTCCACCAGGTCCTCCTCGTCCAGCGTGGCTCGCTTGTACGTTGACATCTGGAAAGCCAAGTGCAGGACAGACTCCCTGAGCCTCTCCATGCCTGCAGAGGCCGCCGGGGGTCAGCCTGTTCTCCGGGGGCCGGAGCGCCGCACAGCGCCCGGCACGCTCATCCCACCGGCACGGCCGCGGAGCCCGCAGGGAGGTGTCCCGCCCCCCCACGTGGGGCTTCCACAGCTCCTTCCCGGGCTCCCGGGAGCGGGGACCCGCGGCTCCTGCCAGCCTCTCCTGGGCACAGCAGCTTTCCGGCAGCGTCGGGTCTGAAGCCGCAGAACAATCGCGCAGGGAGAGCCCCACCGCAGGCCCGCCCCGTCCCAGAGGATGGGCGGGGGGGGGGGGGACGGCGCATGCCACCTCCCTTGCTTATGTAAACTTTCCCTTTCCAGCCTTTGAAGGCCTTCACCCCCCCCCCAGCAGCCCAGGGGGGGCTTCGCCGGAGAGAGCGCTGGCGGCTCTCCACAGCGGAAAGCGACGAGGGTGCCTGAGAACAGGAAGCGTGAGGAGGGCAGGCGGGCGCCGGCTCGGGAAGCGGCGCCCCACGGCCGGCTCGCACCCCCCAGGCCTCCGCGTCCTCAGCCGCCGCTCCAAGCCCCTCCACAGGCGGCTCCCAGGCCGGCTCGGGCACAGGCAGCAGGGGGCGGACGGTCTGCCCGCGCGACACGGTAAGACAAGAAGCGGGGAGCCGCGTCACCCCACTTCCCCGGCCGGTGCCAAGGGGAGGGCAGCCCGCCTCGAGCGCCGCTGGGCCGGCGGCAGGCAAAGGCGGCCCCCCAGGAGCCGCTGGGCACGCAGCACGGCTCCGCTTCAGGCAGGGCCGGGCGGGCCCCGCGGGCCCCCGTGCAGGACGGCAAGCGCGACCGGGCTTCGCATCTTCGGCACACCCGAGGCGGTGCGAAGGGCCGCCCGGCCCGGCCTCCCCCCGGGGCACCCTCCGGATGCGCCATGGGCCAGCTCCAGGCACCGGGTGGGGAAGCTGGGCCACGGGGGACACACCTGCAGTGGAGCCGCCGCGCACCTGGGCGCACCCCCCCTCCTGCCGCACATGCGCCCGGCGCCCCGCTCTGCCCGACTGCCGCAGCCCAGAAGCCTGCTCCCGCTCGCCCTTCTCTCCTCTTCCCTCCCAGCCACTTTTTGTCTTGTGTCAAGTCTCTTGCATTTGCTGGCAGTGACCGGCACCTGGTCACTGGGGAGCATTTTGGCGGTATAAAAATGTGAACGGGCAGCAGGCCCACATGCTGGAAGAGAAGCTGGAATGCAGAGCCGTGCGCACAGATCCAGCAAGCTCAGGTATACTGCTGCTGACCACGGAGGGTCTGCTTCAGGCCACCTGGGTCTGCAACTGCAGGAAAATCCTTAAGCGGGGCAAGGACTCCACTTGGGCAGCACAGCTCAGCCCCCGCTCAGGATGCGACCTCACGATCCCTCCATAATCCAAGAAATCTGGCCCTCAGTTCCACACCCTCCAAACAGCCCTCGGCTTCGGGGGACAAGACTCTGGTCCTGCAGCCGCTGGCGTCCTCACATTTCGAGGGAGTGAAGGGAGGGTCTGGTTACGCCATGAAAGCCGATCCGATCGGCGTGGTGGGCCGCTCGTGTTACTTGATCGACAACCAGAGGAGAGGAGGAGAGGAGAGGAGAGGAAGAGAAGCTCCGCGGAGCGCTCAGCATCTGACGCAAGTGGCGAGGGGAGGCCCACACGCTCTTGGCACCGGCCCGCGGTAAAAAAATACACACAGAAGGGAGGGCCACGCAGCACACGCTGTGTCACAGCGCGTCGGAAGCGCCTGCATCTCTCACCCCCTAATCCCTAATCTCTCTCCGTAGCGTGGTCAAAGATAAACTCCCTTTCAAACAGACGACTTCTGAAGCCGTAAAACATTGTTCTGGGTATGCTCTCCAAGGTGGCGAAGGCTTTGGGCGCCCTTCCCCCTGCTATGCACCCTCTCTCGTGCGCGCACGGGTTTTCCCACACTTAGGTGGGCGAAAACTCACCTGCCACCCACTCACCGGGCTGGGGAAGCTGCACCACGGACCAAAGGCCGCTGCTCCTCACGCCTCCCCAGCCGAGGTGCCGTCCCGCGGCCTCACAGCCCTCCCCCTGGCTCATCCTCCGCAGGGAGCACGGCCCCCATGAGAGCTGCCACCACCCCCCCAGTAGCCTCTGCTGCCCGGCCGTCCCGGCCTCGCTTCCCTCTGCTGCCTCGGGATGCCGGCGGCCGCTTCCAGTCCAGGGAGGCGCACTGTGGGTCACAGCCCCGAGCTGCAGCGAAAAGGCTCAGGCCGAGGGAGCGAAGGGCGCTGGCCACCCGCCCGCCTCCCCGGCGGAAAGTTCCACTGGCTCGGAGCAAGGCAAGCGTGGAAGGGAAGGCCGCGGGGGCCGTGCACGAGCCCCGGCCAAGGAGAGGGCTTGCCGGGAAGCGCCGGGCACGCCGAGCTCTCCAGCTCCTGAGCTCCGGGCCGCTCAGCGAGCAAAGTTCGGCGCAGGCCCGGGAACGTCTCGCGTCCTAGCGCAGGCTCCGCCGTGGCATGCTCCTCTCCCACACTCTCAGGGCACCAAGCCCCGCAGGCCGGCCGGCCCGGCCCCGGTTCCCCGCAACGTCAAACCAGGAGCGCTGTGACGGGGAATTCCTGCAGTTGCGAAGGCAGCCGGGCATGGGAGCCTGCTAGCTCGTGGCCTCCGGTGCTGAAGCCCCACGGCAGTGCGGGTCATTTCCCGCAGAGCCCCACACGCACCCAAGGCCACATGTGGCCTTGCTCACACACTAGCCTCGGGGACGAGGGAAGCACCCCGCTGAGGCCAACAGCCGGCCCCGTGGCTTCCTCGCACCGCACCTCCGAAATGGACCTTTCCCCCGGAGAAGGAGCGCTACCCCCTTCCCATTTCGGAAAGGCCCCCGGCACAGCCCAGCACGGCCCCTGCCCTATGCACACTCCCCCAGCGGCAGGGCTTCTCGCCCCCTCCCCAGCCAGGACAGGGCTCGGGAATGGCCCGGACTGCTCTGTCTCTCGCAGGCGCGCCAGACTCTGCTCCCACCTCATCCTGAAGAAGCCTGCTGGCCATTACCGGGGCCGCTGGAGACCCAGCCCGATGTCCACCCGCAAATATTCGGCAAAGCCACGGTTCCGTTGAACAAGAGAGCTGTTTTTCAGAGCTGAATATTTGTTTTTTCAAGCAGTCCCTGTCACTCTCCTTTCTTCCTGTTTTCGTTCAGTTTGCTTTACGTTCTCAGCCGTGGGCCGACCCCGCGTTCCAGGACAAAAGCCAAGCAAAAAGTAATCACTGAGTTGCTCACATTTCTAGGAAATTTACGGCATGTTACTGAGCGCTTCAATGACTCATGGTTGTAATAAATGCTGGAGAGCCAGTCCTGTGTTACGGCCTTGGCCAGGGACTCCGGAGATCCGGATTCACAACTCCGCTCAGCCTGTTCCTCCGGTGGCTCTGGCCAGGCACGGATGGACTCTCAGTCTGCCCTGCCTCACAGGGATGTTGTGAGGATGAAACGGAGAGGAAGAGGCTTTTCTGCTGCCCTGGATCGCTTGCGAGGGGAAAAGCAGTGGCAAGAAGGATGGCAGCACATAAATCAAATTAGCTTTTGGAAAGCAAAAACCAAGGCTGTGCCTTTGTCTCAGCACTGGGGCAGAACTGCAGCCTGGCCTTGCTGGCCAAGAGCCGGAGGGCCTTCATGGGCGATGCACCCCCCATGCCCCCCCCCACTGAAAAGGTAAACCCCGACTGGAGAAAAGGAGATTAAAACACATCCAAGATTAAAACCACCATGGAATGTAAAAGGTTAAGCCTTTTTTGGTGCCAAAAAAGAGGAGAGGTCCCCCAACAAACGTGCCCCCCGGCCCCCTGTCTGTCAAGACTGCAGCAGCGCACTGACAAACCCTGCGGGGAGCCGGGCACCCACCACGCCAGAAACGGGGGGTGCCGCCTTCGGCCACTCCAGACCCTTCCTATAGGCGGGAAGAGCTTCCAGCTGAAAGGTACGTTTTCGCCCTGCCAGCCCTGGAACACGACCCACCGGAGTCTCTCCAGTACCAAATGTGGCCCTTCGGCTGAAAGCAGTTTGGGGGCCGAAGCCTTTTTAAGGTCGCTCCACCCCTTGCCATTTCCTCCTCCCAGTGGAGGCAGCTGGCCGCAAACTCGGCCGCAAGGAATACGCAAAGCTCCGCGCACGTCAGCGACGCACTCCCAGCCCGGCCGGAGTCCGGTGGGCACGCAGACTCTCCCCAGAGGCCCTCCTCCACGAGGCCGGGGTCCTTCCTCCGAGGAAGAGCGCGCCGGCTCAGGTGGGGGACACGCGCAACTCCCCGGCCGCCTCGGAAGCGGGGCTGGCCCCACAAGCACAGGGCACCCAGGGCAGCGAGCGCTAGAGGCCTCCCTTGGCCACAGGCTGCGAGGCCTCTTCCGCTGGAATGCCGCCCGGAGTGCCTTCCCACGCCGCAAACACGCACCGCATTCCTTCTGCCCGCCAAGGGACCAATCCAGGCAGGCGGGAAGTGCCGGCTCACCGCTCTTCCGGCCCAGGCAGTGCCGCACGCACCCCAGCAAGTGCCGAGGGCTGGGAGCCGGGCGGCCCCTTCCGTGTTTGCGCTCGGAGCGCGGCAGCCAGGAAGCGGTGCGGCCCCCGCCCACCAGAGTTTCCCCACATGCGGGAACCGGATGCGCGGCCCATCTCCGCACCCAGCAGCGCACTCTCGCTGCTGCTCCCCGACGGGGCTGCTTCCTCATCCTCCCCGCGCCACTGGCCCATGCTCCAGCCAGCGGGAGGCACACCTGCTCTGGTCCGAGCCCACGCGCTCCATGGGGGACCGGGAAAGGCGGGCTCCCCCTGAGCCCACAGAGACGCCCGTGGCTCCAAGCAGCCCCGGGGCAGCCGCCTTCCCTCGCGGGGCACTCTCCTTCTGGCAGATGCTCTCGGTGGCCACCAGCCAGCGGTGGCCAGGGTGAAGCCAAGCAGAGGTGGCCAAGTGCAAGGAGCTTTTCCTGCCAGTAGTGAAGCCCTGAGAGCAGCATCTCAACATCTCAGAAGGGAAAAAGAAGCACCCCCAACACCCCCATGCTGGCACAGCCCCCTAGAGAACCCCCAAGGGTTGGATTCAGCCCTCAGCCCAGGGTTCCCCACCCTGGAGCATGGCCAAGCGCCTCCTCTGGCGTGAGGTGGCTTCCCACAGTCCGACTTCAACCAGCTCTTCGCCCCGCACTGCACCGTGAGGCCTGGAAACCTGAGATGCCTCTGGGAGAAGGACCTGCTTGCGGCAGGAAAGCCCCTTTTCAGGCTTGAGCCGCTGAGAAGACTCCTGCCGCAGCCCCGGCGGCTGTCGCTGCCCGTCAGAGTTGCCATCCCTGCTGCAGGGACTGGGCCAGGCATGGCGCACGGCGGCTTTGGATTTTCCAAACATGGGAATGCCTGGCATTTCCTTCCTGCCCGGAGAGCCGAGTGTGGAACCTGCGGAGAGCAGACCTTTCCCTCCCTTGGCCACCATGCTGGGCGCTCTCGCTGCGGGCTAGTGTGACAGCACCCATGTTCCCCAGCAACTGGAGTGCAGAGGCAGATAGGCTCAGCGACTGGAGACAAGTTGCGGTCCAAAGGCGGGGCCAAGCCCGGTCCTTCCCCAGAGGTGCTGCCTTCATCTGAGTGGCACCGGGGTGTGGAAGGCCAGGTCGCCTCCCGAGGGCGCCCCTCACCCTCCTGCCTCCTGGATCGGTGCCCCGCAGGGCCTGGCTCGTGGCACGAGGGCTTGGCTCGAGGCAGCGGCTCCGTCACCCGCCAGGCTCATTACGGAGACTTACGACCAGGCCGACAAGCCACGCACGCTGCCAACGGCGCCCCGTAAGCAGGTCCCAACAAGCCGGCCAAAACAAGTGAGGGCGGGCAGGTGGAGGCCGAGGGCCGCTGCAGCCGGAGGACCGGCAGGCCCCGCTTCCACGGAGCTCGGCAGGCGGCTCAGGGCATCGCCGTGAAGGTGAGAAACGCGGCAAGCTGCGCACAGGGAGCCACCGGGTCGGGGTCAGGGAAGAGTGCGCAGTGCGAGGCAGCTGCAGGCTGGCAGGGCTTCAGCACCGCTTTATTGCTTTCTACATTGCTGCCGGCCTCTGCCAACCGGCACCTTCCCACCGTCCGGGACATCTGCTCCCATCAGCCCCAGCCTGCACAGCCAATCTCCGAGGGCGCTGGGAGTTGTAGTGCTTGGATGGTTTAAGGTGCAATTATTCCCAAATGGTTCCAGAGCAGCTTGAAATCCATCCGTGACCAAGACCTCGCCTGAGTTGGGGAGGCTGTGGCAGAACCTTTCCTCCCACGGGTAAGGTCGGCCTGGATCCTGTTTGGCACCTGGAGCTCTCGGCCGGCCGTGGGGTGGGAGGCTCTCAACGCTGCCGGAAGGACCGGGGCGCCCGCCCTCCCAGGGTCCTTTGGAAGGAAAGCCACCGCAGGCGAGACCCGCCGGAGAGCCCTTCCAAAGATACGGGGCACTGCCACGGGCCGGCGGAGGGCACCGCAGCAGCCATGCAGGGACTTCCGGCCCTGGGAGACGGGCTGGGGAGCCGCGGCGGGGATCTGGGAGCAGCCTTCAGGCAGCCGCCGGGCGCGGCAGTTCTGGCGGGGCCATGGGGCCTCCCAGCCCACGCCCCCCCGGCACCGATGTTCTACCATTTCCTGGAACCACAGGAGCGCACGTCAAGAGAGTGCGTCAGCCCGCGAGAGGCCGGGTCCCCGTGGCGTGCTGCGGCCCCCCACCGCCCCCCTGCCTTGTTCTTCCCCCTCCACCCCTTGCCCAGCCTCAGCACGCAAGTGCGAGCAGCTGGCCAGGAGGCCGCGAGCAGCTGGCCCCGGCCTCCTGCCTCCGTCGCGAAGACCGAAGGTCGGGAGGGATGCAGAGCCGCAGATGCACTTCCTGGGCGAGAGGCCACCGGCCAGCCCTGGCTGCGGAGCCGCCTCCAAACCCGGCTGTGAGTCTGGCCTGCACCCCGTCGGGGCACCAAAACCCCGCTGCCAAACACTGCAAGGCTCCACACACGCCCATCTGCGCAGGAAGGCCGCCGACTTCGGCACTTCGGCTCCATGCCCCGGCTGCTCTGGCCTTGCCTTTTCCGACAACGCCAGACCACACGGACCACCGCCTGACACGCAACGAGGCAGGCTCAAGGCCCCCAGACTCTTTCCACCCTCCCCCAAACTGCTGCCCCACGGATACTGCACGCGCCGACCTCTCCGTCCTGGGAGGCCGAGAGAGACCGCAGAGGCTTTCGCAGCAGAGCACCGACGGGCAGGCCGGGTGGGCACCGCAGAGCAGCGATCGCCCTGCCTGCCACTGCGCCTTTCCGGCAGGGCGCACCTTCAGCAGCCCCAGCCTTGCCTTCCTCCAGAGCTCGGCGCTGCCCTCGCAAGGGTCCGGCTGAGAAGGAGCAGGCGGCCAGGCCCGGGCCCAGGCCCCCGGCCAGTCCTCCCAGCCTCCCGCAACCCCAGACGGAGCGTCCAATTCCCACGCTTCTCTGGCTGAGGGCCCCGCACTTCCGCTCCGAAGCCGGGATCAGGCACCCGGGCTCCGGCTCTGCGCCTCTGCGAGGACCACTTCGCTCCTGCTGGCATGGGCCTGCCCCAACCCGCTGCCACCAGCGGGCCAAGGACGATGGGACCTGCAGGGCTGTGGGAAGCCGTAACCGCAGCGCACGGGACCCGGCCAGCCTTTCCCAGTCGGGCCCCGCATGCCTGCCGCCCGCCCGCCCCACCGGGCTGCCCAGGTGCCCACAGCCCACGGCCAGGCCGCCAGGCGGGCGCAAGGAGCTGCTGGACGGCCGGCGCGCCGGGGGGCCGCAGCTCGCGGCATCCTCCGAGCGGCGGAGCGCACAGGAGAGCGGTCGCGCAGG